ATGTTGGATTGGGGGTCTTCTTGTTGGGTTGGGGGTCTTCCAATTGAGTTGGGGATCTTCTTGTTGGATTGGGGGTCTTCCAGTTGAGTTGGGGGTCTTCTTGATGGGTTGGGGGTCTTCCAATTGAGTTGGTGCTCTCAATGTTGGGTTGGGGGTCTTCTTGTTGGATTGGGGGTCTTTCAATTGATTTGGGGGTCTTCCTTGTTGGGTTGGGGGCTCAATGTTGGGTTGGGGGTATTCCATGGCCAAGGTTGGGTCTCCATGGCCAAGGTTGGGTCTCCATGGCCAAGGTTGGGTCTCCATGCCCAACTGGGGGCTCTCCATGGCCAAGATTGGGTTTCCATGACCAAGATTGGTCTCCATGCCCAACTGGGGGCTCTCCATGACCAAGGTTGGGTCTCCATGGCCAAGGTTGGGTCTCCATGGCCAAGGTTGGGTTTCCATGGCCAAGATTGGTCTCCATGCCCAACTGGGGGCTCTCCATGACCAAGGTTGGGTCTCCATAGCCAAGGGTGGTCTCCATGCCCAACTGGGGGCTCTCCATGGCCAAGGTTGGGTCTCCTTGACCAAGGTTGGGTCTCCATGGCCAAGATTGGTCTCCATGCCCAACTGGGGGCTCTCCATGGCCAAGGTTGGGTCTCCATGACCAAGGTTGGGTCTCCTTGACCAAGGTTGGGTTTCCTTGACCAAGGTTGGGTCTCCTTGACCAAGGTTGGGTTTCCTTGACCAAGGTTGGGTCTCCATGGCCAAGGTTGGGTTTCCATGGCCAAGATTGGTCTCCATGCCCAACTGGGGGCTCTCCATGGCCAAGGTTGATTCTCCATGGCCAAGGTTGGGTCTCCATGGCCACGGTTGGGTTTCCGTGGCCAAGGTTGGGTGTTCATGGCTATGGTTGGGTTTCCATGGCCAAGGTTGGGTGTCCATGGCTATGGTTGGGTCTCCTTGACCAAGGTCGGGTCTCCATGACCACGGTTGGTTCTCCATGACCAAGGTTGGGTCTCCATGGCCAACTGGGGGCTCTCCATGACCAAGGTTGATTCTCCATGGCCAAGGTTGGGTCTCCATGGCCAAGGTTGGGTCTCCCTGACCAAGGTTGGGTTTCCATGGCCAAGGTTGGGTTTCCATGACCAGGATTGGTCTCCATGCCCAACTGGGGGTTCTCCATGACCAAGGGTGGTTCTCCATGGCCAAGCTTGGTCCCCCCATCCCCGTTTTCCCCTCCCCCTCCCCCCGCCATCCCCAGAACGAGAGCAACCAGGCCAACTTCGAGAAGCTGATCGAGGCGCTGAAGGGCAGCCGGAACGGGCGGCGCCTCGGCGTCTTCTCCAAGGACAACTTCCCGGGGGACTTCCTGCGCTCCTGGAACGAGTGCCTGAGCAAGGAGGGCTTCGAGAAGGTGGGTTGGGGGGCAGAGGGGGCGGCCCCCAGGCGGGGGTGACCCGTGCCCCAGCGGGGTTTTTAACGGGCGGGGCCGGCCGCAGGTGGACATCAGCGCGGGCGTGGCCCTGGCCATGGCGGCCAAGGAGGACGTGGAGCTGCAGCTGATGCGTCGCGCGGCCGCCATCACCTCCGAGCTCTTCACCAAGTTCTTCAAGGAGCGCGTCATGGAGATCGTCGACGCCGACGAGGTCCTGGGGGGGGACAGGGTGGGCGGGGTGAAAATCGGGGTGAAATCGGGGGATTTTGGTAAAAAGAAATTTTTGGTGAAAAATCAGGGGGTTTTGGCTAAAAAAAAATTGAGTGTTTTCTGAGGGGAGGTTGCCCCAAACCCGCACGGGTTTAGCCCCAAAAATCAGTGGTTTCTTTTGCCCATAAAAGACCGTTTTTGTCCTTGTTCTGAGGCCAAAAATGAGGCAAAAATGAGGCAAAACGGGCCCCAAAAAAATGAGCGTTTCGAGGCAGAATTTGACCCCAAAAAATGAGCGTTTTGGGGCAGAATTTGACCCCAAAAGAATGAGCGTTTCAAGGCAGAATTTGACCCCAAAAAAACGAGCGTTTCGAGGCAGAATTTGACCCCAAAAGAATGAGCGTTTCAAGGCAGAATTCGACCCCGAAAAACGAGCGTTTTGGGGCAGAATTTGACCCCAAAAAACCAACGTTTCAGGGCAGAATTTGACCCCAAAAGAACGAGCATTTTGAGGCAGAATTTGACCCCCAAAAAACGAGCGTTTCGGGGCAGAATTTGACCCCAAAAAACGAGCGTTTCGAAGCAAAATTTGACCCCCAAAATAACGAGTGTTTCGAAGCAAAATTTGACCCCAAAAAACGAGCGTTTCGGGACAGAATTTGACCCCCAAAATCGAGCGTTTCGGGGCAGAATTTGACCCCAAAAGAACGAGCGTTTTGGGGCAGAATTTGACCCAAAAAATGAGCGTTTTGAGGCAGAATTTAACCCTCAAAAAACGAGAGTTTCGAGGAAGAATTTGACCCCCAAAAAACGAGCATTTCGGGGCAGAATTTGACCCCAAAAAACGAGCGTTTCGGGGCAGAATTTACCCCAAAAAATGAACATTTTGAGGCAGAATTTGACCCCCAAAATCGAGCGTTTCGGGCCATAATTTAACCCCCAAAACTGAGCATTTTGAGGCGGAATTTAACCCCCCCAAAACGAGCGTTTTGAGGCAGAATTCGACCCCTCAAAAACGAGCGTTTTGATGCAAAACCGGCCATAAAATCACCATTTTGAGCCCCAAAGGAGCGGGGTTTTGACCCCAACCCGGGGCGGGGGGGTTTCTGTGGTGGGATGACATCATGATGACATCACGATGACGTCATAATGACGTCATCCCCCCCCCCAACAGAAGGTGCGCCACAGCAAGCTGGCCGAGGCCGTGGAAAAGGCCATCGAGGAGAAGAAGTTCCTGGGCGGGGCCGACCCCTCGGCCGTGGAGATGTGCTACCCCCCCATCATCCAGAGCGGGGGCTCCTACAGCCTCAAGTTCAGCGTCGTCAGGTGGGGAGACAGACCCCAAAACCCCCATTTTTTGCCCCAAAAAAACGGCGGCTTCGATGCGGGCGAAATCGGCGTTTTTTTGCTCCGGGAACGGCCCCGAAACGGCCTTTCTCGCCCCCAAAACGGCCCCTGGCGCCCCGAAATCGCCGTTTCCCACCCCGGAAACGGCCTCCAGGGGCCCAAAATCACCGTTTTCCACCCCTAAATCGGCCTCCAGGGGCCCAAAATCGCCGCTTTCCGCCCCAAAAAACGATCTCTGGGGTCGCGAAATCGCCGCTTCCCGCCCCGAAAATGGACCCCCTGGGGCCCCGAAATCGCCGTTTTCTGCCCCGAAAACGGCCCCCAGGACCCCGAAATCACCGTTTTCTGCCCTGAAAACGGCCCCAGGGGCCCAAAATCGCCATTTTACACCCCAAAAACAGCCCCAGGGGGCCCAAAATCACCATTTTACACCCCAAAAACAGCCCCTAGGGACCCAAAATCGCCATTTTACACCCCAAAAACAGCCCCAGGGGCCCAAAATCACCATTTTACACCCCAAAAACAGCCCCAGGGGGCCCAAAATCGCCATTTTACACCCCAAAAACAGCCCCCAGGGACCCAAAA